AAAATATATTTCAGGATAATTTTAACTTTTTCAGAGCTGTCGGATGTCTGCCACCCTCTATATTCAAATCAGTTTGAGATTTTCTTCAATAATTGGAAAAACGCAAAAATGCTTATTCATTTTTAGAAGGCAATCTGAATAGGCCATGCATATCACCAATACGTAAAATTTTTAAATAGAACTAGAGTCGATGAAAACTACATTTTCGGATTATCCGACGGATTAGAGAACGGTCGATTACATATGTGTCCATCACAATTGGCTCGGAGTTCTGCCAGTCGGGAAGCAAAAAGTTTTTTAGAAAGTTGTCAAGAGAAAGAAACAAAAAGAAGCAAAAGTATATAGCAACTCGAGCAGCAATTGAACCCACGCCCTAAGAATTCTATTGTTTCTTTCTGCTCTGGCCACTGAGCTATCGAGCCTATACTTTTCTATCGTTCTTTTTCTCGCTATATTTGAGATGATAAGGAAAATGAATTTTCATTAGTGACGTTCTGAAGGATCTCAGAAACATATGTGAAAAATTACCTAAAGGGGAAAGAATTTTGAATCTACTCGAATTTTGTATTCTCATGACGAAAACTGAGAGAAATTTAATTTTTTTGAGTATATCTTTTTGTCTCTAAAAGAAACTGTGCAGGCGGATGAATACCCAGGACCTCGAAAACACTGCTAATGAAATAGGCATTTTTAGACTAGTGATTTCGAAAATTTTTAACATTTTAAAGCATCGAACGGTATCGGCAATTCCCTACTCTAAATATATCATAAAAAGAAAAGACAACTTTTCTGCATCGAGTGTTTCTTTCTCGAATTAGACTTGTTGTGGCGTCTGGGTAAACAAGCTTTCTGTGCAAATATCGAGTACAACTGAAGTGTACCGAATTAGCTTCTTGTTATTCATATAGACGGTACAGTAAGAAATATTTTCGACTTCACACTGTAGTGAAGCGTATACAAATATCGTGTAGGGGATCCATCCCATTAAATCTTAAAAAGCAGTGTAATTTAAATTTTTCATCGCTTATATTTATGCGCCAATTCAGGCGTTGTAATGAATCGGAATTTAAAGAAAATAAACTAATGAATCATTATCTTTCATTGTTGGCGCTGTTCCTATGAGTACTCGCGCGTTTATTGAAAGCGCGTCGGAAAAGCCTTTTTTGGGCTTATTCTGCGCGCCGAATGCTTATTCACGCAAAAATGCTTATTCATTTTTAGAAGGCAATGTGAATAAAAACCATGCTAATGGAATTGTATACTGCCTTGAGTGAAATCAGAAATTGTATACGTGCCTCTATGAAATCAGATCCTCTAATTTTCGGAGCTAAATTAATTGTGCTCATACAAAAAAGCGCTATAGGAACGTCGTTTTGTACCAAAGGACAAGATAGGACTCGGGCGATTTTTGAACGAATTATACAAGTGGTAACGTATGAGGGATAACAAATTACTACGATTTAAGATACGAAATTTTCTTGGTCACTGTTGAGCAAGGAAGATATTTCAGCGCTAATTTCGCCCTAATTAGGAGACGTTGTATGTAGCCACAGAAGAAAGCCAGAACATGCAGTTTTCTAAGTTATTTTCTATTACATATTCGAAATTTGTGGGAAATACTTGAACTAGAAAAAAAAGTCCACCGAGTTTCGAGTAAAAAATGAAGATAACGGTGACATTTTAGTGTGTACGCCTATGAAAAACTTGGAAATGCGTCCTCTTTCTTTTTTTTGCACCTAACTCCGGCATTTAACATGCAAGCTTTATTGCAGTTTCGTTTATGAACTAACCGTTTTATTATACACATGTTTATTTCATTCGGATTAAGGGACTTATCTTATTGCGAACGTTTCTGTTTCTTTTATTCCCTAATACGAACGGTCGATTGAAATACACGTGTTTTTTTACAGAATGGGAAAAAAAACACTGTTTCAAGTGGAAAAAAGTCAAAATCGACTCAACCTATTGCTGGCGAAAATGTTCCCTAAATTCTAATTGTATGTTCCATCCACTATATCCCTTGACTGTAAAGGCTAAAAACTCAAGACAATTTTGATGCATTAATCGGAACGCACTATCGGAAAGCCAGCAGGCTGCCTGCTTATCCATTTGAACGTTCAGTCATCCCGTGATAGTAGGCAGGAGTAAAGTACCTTCCCCTTAGAGATCTGCAAAATGACATTTTTTCAGTTCCGGTCCCGGTGTCGGTCTTCATCAGGACCGATCGATTCGTTATTCAGTGAGTCTGTTCTTTATTTCAATTCATTGCATTCATTGCTGTTTTTCCAGTTCCGTACAATCTCTTCTCGATACGAACAGTTTGTATCTACGGTTCTTCGCAAGTGATTTCTGTTTAGCTAACCTGATATGTGTTTGATGTGATCAGAAAGACTACAGCATGTAAATAATCTAGCTTTAACCAGCGAACTTAGCATTCTTACTACAATATTTTCTCTCTCTATTTCCTGCAATACTGTGAGACAAAGCGGAAAGTAATAATTGTAGTTAAAAATAAACTCAATTTTTAGACAATATTCTGTTATATCAGGTTTTTTCAATTCATATCACAATTGCTTTTTACTATTATTATTGTGTAGTTTTCCATATTTTTCTTTCAGATAGCTAGAAAAATGCCGACACCGACACAAACATCGATCGAAAAGGCATCAAGAAAAGAAGAATTAGCGAAAGAACAGAATCATCATCATCATTTTCTGCTTTAAATAAAATCGATAAAGTTGTTGTATATCCACTCGTTTTATTGAGTGTTGTCGATCATTTTAATCGTATGGGAAAAATTGGTCATAATCAGTGTGTACTTGGAGTACTTTAGACATTTCTGACAGCTTTCCTGATAAAGAAATCAATTTCTTTCATATCTTTTTAAAGTATATTTTTATCTTACCTATTTCTTTAGTTCCATTCGATGATGAGGAAAAGGAAAAAGACTTTTGGGTTTTAGATCACAAGTATTTGGAAAATATGTACACTATGTTTCGAAAAGTAAACGGTAAGTATTTTTCGTTCATAAATACGAATTTGGCTGTTTAAAATGTTTATTTGCTTTAGCACGTGAGCGTATCGTTGGATCGTATCATACTGGTCCGAAATTACATCGTAACGACATTTCTATCAACGAACTAATACTCGTTTATAATCCAGATTCTATATTTGTTATTATTGATGCTAAACCAAAAGATCTTGGCTTACCGACAGAAGCATATATTGCCGTAGAAGAAATTCACGATGTACGCAATAGTTTTTATCAACAAAATCTTTTTTTTATTGAACTCGTGAACGTTCATTACATAGCATGATACCATAGCAAAAAAAAATTGATACGCACATATATACTGAACGTAAGAGAAAGATATAACTAGATCGTCGACGTAAATACGCGCATTGGAGTCCAACAAAATTATGAGCGATCATAAGGGTAAAGAAATTTCTCTCACATTTTTTAATTTAATTTGTATTTTAGGATGGTAGTCCAGCCTCAAAAACATTTGAACATTTGCCATCAGAAATTGGCGCTGAAAGGGCAGAAGCAGTCGGAGTTGAACATCTTCTACGGTAATGTTTTTCTATTTTGCTCTCTATGCAGTATATATTATGATATTATTTGTTTATTTTTCTAGTGATATTCGTAATGCAACAGCTGGAACATTATCCCAACGTATTACGAATCAGTTAATGGGTTTAAAAGGTCTAATGAAAAATCTAAACGATGTTCGAAATTATTTAGATAAATTATTAACAAATAAATTACCAATAAATCATCAGATATTATCACATATTCAAGATATGTTCAATTTATTATCTGATATAAATCAACAAGATTTAACTAAATCAATTTATGCTGAAACAAATGATGAAACGTTACTAGTTTATCTTTCATCATTAATACGTTCCATTATTGCATTACATAATTTAATTATGAATAAAATACAAAATAGTGATACTGAAAAATCCGATAATGCATCAGTTACAGGTATGACTGGAACAAGTGCAGGTATATCACAAAGTGATAAAAAAAATGAAAAAGGTGCTAGTGATAAAACAACATCAAATAATAGTACGAATAATAATGCTAGTTAATAAATGTCACTCGTCAATTCGGATCGATTATGTATTAGCTAATAAAAGAAGACAAACAAATAATCAAGATTATGAATGCTGTTATTTTCTCCTCTGTTTTAAAATTATTGAACTGTTTTTCATTTTGTTTTAAAATAAAAAAGTTATATTCAACTGAATTTGAAACGGTATGTATCAGAGCTCTGTATGGACTGGACTCAAACTTTCAAGATCATGGACTTGAAAATGAATTTTGGATTCACTTGAATCGAGGAAAAATCAGTAAAACACTAAAAAACTACCTTTTTAGAGTCCATGAACTCGGACTGGAGTGAAGTGGACTCAGAATTTTGAGTCCATACGGAGCTCTGGTATGTATACTCTAAAAAAAATTCGTATGAATGTAAGACGGCATAAGTGGGTCGGAAATTAGCCGCATGCATTCGTCTTATTTTAAGACAGACGAATTATCACTTCTATTTCAATACTAGTTCAAATTCTTTAAGGTCAATTGTACTAGATCGTAGGAGCATGACAGTATCTAAGTACCGTCTGTCTATATAGTGTTCGTAGACTTTTGTAAAAGAAACTGACAAAAATTACGATCTCGTCCATCTTCTTCTGTTCTATAAATACCAAATACCAGATGAGGAAGAAAAGAAGTGATTGAATTCACCGTCGATTATAGAAGTAAGATGAGTAGCCAAAAGGAAACAACGGTTATTTATTTCTGTTTATTTCCTCCCTGGCTAGTTTTATTTCTTCCGCTGCAATTATTTGATGTCCGATCTTCATTATTTAGATTTTCCAAACCAGTATGCTACCCAGGTCGACTCTCACGGCAAAGTCGCGACGTGAGTCACGGAAAAAAGTAATGCCTTGAACGCGATCGCTATTGGACTCATGAAAAATGTCACGATTTTCGCGATCACTATAAACGAAAAGAGATTTTCCCAATCCACTCGCGAAACTCACGGCATGACTCCCGCCGTCGCTGCGTGAGTCCCACGTTTTTCCTAATATTTGGACGTGAGTCCTTATTCTCGCGATGTGACTCACGAAGTCGCGCCGTGAGTCCCGTATTTTATCAAAAATTCAGCTCGACTAGCTGTTGTTGCGATATGACTCCCGCTGTCGCGACGTGTAAGCAGGGACTCACGATTTTTCTTCAGCAAGACTCCTATCGCGCCTTTTACTTCCTCGCGCTTGTTTTTTTCTCCTGCTTCTTGAAGTGCTTGGAGTTTTCCTGTCTGAACAGGGCTTGTATATAGGGTTTTTATTTATTTTTCAGGTTTTTTGAATGAAAACAATTTTTTTAGGAGTTGTTTTTAGAGGTTACTCATATTTCAGTTGCTCAACTTCGATTCGACACAAAAGGTACTCGGTTGATCAGCTGCAAAGTTAATAGACCTGCTTGCGTCCTTTCGGTGAGAGTTTAATTTCCATAAGGCAACGCCTGCCGTACGTGAAGAACACATTCACGCTAGGAGTTTCATCTGGAATTCCAAGGAAGCTGACGCTAAGTCCTGCTCGTTATTCTATAGGATACTCTATGCAGTTAGGTGAGCTTTTACATGCCCCGTCAAGGTGGTCCCACATTTTTTTTGTACTCACTAGTCAAAAGAGAATGGGATTTTCTAAATCCACCACACTCCCCGAAGGACCACCATGGTGCTCCCCTACACTCCCGCGGTGGCTACCGGGAAGTTTGGTCCCCAGGGGAGTTTTCCTGGGGAGTGAAGGAGATTTATATAGATAGAAATAAGAGTAACTAACTCACTAGACTCGTACGCTGATAACGATATACACTTCCCCCATTTGTTTCGTATAGCCAGATTGCCCTCTAAAAATGAATAAGCATTTTTGCGTTTTTCCAATTATTGAAGAAAATCTCAAACTGATTTGAATATAGAGGGTGGCAGACATCCGACAGCTCTGAAAAAGTTAAAATTATCCTGAAATATATTTT